TTCCTTTAATGAAAAAGGAAAGAGTTTCAACCTGATTGTATTCACCGGCATAGTTTGATCATGAAATGTAGCACAAACCTCCTCGAAATCTCTAATATGTAAGTAAGGTTTTTTTGATTCTATGCCATGAAATTTTGAAAGTAGTGCAATTATGTCATGTTTAAAAATAAAATTCTTGGCATTTAATAGAAAGATGATGCATGAGGGTGCAGTGTGACATGCAGGTTGCAAATATTTACGCAAAATCCGACCATGATTATCATTCTCATTATTAGCATCATTCTCATCATGATTACTTTTTCTATCCTCGTGATCCTTGTGTTCAGAAAAATTATTTCGCTTATTATTAATAGGATCTGCAGCCATTGTATGAGATGTATGATTTGAATTGGATGAGTCAAAAAAGTTTTCAACAGAGTATCTAAATCTTTTCTTATTGAGCGTCCACTCAAATCACGATGCCAAGAATCCATAAAACAAATAAAATAAATAAAAAATTAAATTAAATAACAAAAAGAAAATAAATTTCAGGAAAGTAAAAAAATAGAATGAAGTTACCGAATCTCTGACAAATCGTAAATATCGAAAACCTCAATAAATGTGATGGCGGCTTCTTGTCTTTCAACAACTCTTCGGCAACGGTGCCAAAAGATCACACAGTAATTATAATACAATTGTTGCAGATCCTAATAATAATAGGCGAAATAAGTAATCATGATGAGAATGATATTTAGCCATTAATCACCCAAGTGGAAGTTGTGTGAAATAAAAAATTTTTTAGCAGTCCGAGGTCGAACCACAAGAAATTATGAAAACTTAGAACACAAAGAAAAATAAAAGAAAATTGCTTTGAAAAAATTGTTGTAGATATTTTGAAATTAGAAAATAATAAATTTGATTTTAAAACAATAATTGAAAATACTAAAGCATCAGGGATACCCTTTCAAATCCACACTATAATTATTAATGATCAGGTTTTCGAACTCAATTGAGTCTCAATCGGAATATTTAGCGGTGATAATATGAAAACATCAAAAGTTATAATTAATGAATTATCTGAAAAAATATAAAAATTTACTTATAGATCACAATCATTCATTGTGTCCGGAGTTTACGATAAATCAAGCTTTCTAACAGGTAAATCAAATTTTATTACAAATAATAAATTAACTATCTTATGAGAAATTCGAATTAGTTAATTCAAGTATGGAATAACCAGTTATTTGACTCGCAGGGAATGTCAAGCATTTGATGTACGTGACATAAAGAATCAAAAAATTATACAGAGCAAAAACTTTACTAAGAATAAATCATGCATTAAAAAGAACATTGAATCAATAATAAATACCGTACTTCATTGAAAGTATTTCCCCTACCTTTAGTTAGATTTTTATCAAGCCATAGAATCGGAACAAAAACTAAAAAAAAAAAATGGGAAGAAAATTATAATTCAAATTATCTCCTCTCAATAGATGAGAGCCTTTATTTATACTAAAATAAATTCTAGGTACATGTAGAAGATATAAGGTTGGTTTGACAAGAATTTTTTTCTAAACAAACGTCTTTTAAGGTTAAATCCCGTGCATAAAATCTTGAGGTCGCAGGTACAAAATTTGTTCAACTTGAATTTTGCATATTTAGAGGCTGAATCATGAAATTTTCGTGCAATACACTTTTATAGTTGAAGTCTTCTTTCCACCCCCCCCCCCCAGAAAAAAATCAAGTCAATTTGATATCAGAGTTAAAAGTTATAACCAAAATACTGAAAGACGTGTCAAATCTTTATCTTCTAAGATACTTTCTCAATATAACTTTAAATGAGTTTTCTTCAAACTTGGACTCTTATAAGGATTAAATTGTTGTTTTATCTTCAAGTCTTCCTATCTCAATCTTGACTCTTCAATTCTTATCAGTTATGATTCTTCCACTAGTGATTACTTCACTTGCCTTATCAATTATTAATTTAAATTAACCAATTTTTCTACAAAATAAACCAAATAACTAGAAAAAATATCAAACTAGAAAATCAAAAAATTTAACACATTTAATCATAAAAAATATACAATTAACCAATCATTAAATATAATAAAATTGTGCTTTTGATGGTTAATCATCTACTCTCTAAAGCTTCTCTTCCACAGAACTTCTAGTATCATGCCTTTGCTACCTTAGTTTTTCTCATTAACAATATGCCTACTCTTACTATGTCTCATCAATCCTTTTATGAAAATTTGTTTGGCCATTCTCCAAATTTAAGTCATCTCTGGACCTTTGGTTGTGCATTTTAACCATTACTCAAGCCCTATAATCATCGTAACCTTCAACAGAAGACAACTCAGTGTGTCTTTCTAGGATATACACTTGACTATAAAGGTTTCTTATGCTTTGATCCTGTCACATATACCTATTATGTTTTCGACATGTTCTTTTTTATGAACATACTTTTCCTTATACCTCTCTTATTTCTTCTTCTACATCTCCATCCCTTGATTCCTCTTCAATTCTAGGACCAACTCCCATTAATCCTGCTTTACTACCTCTTCTCAGATCCTTACCATCCTCTACTTCTGCACGACCCTCATCCACTAATTCTTTAACCTTTCCTCTTCCTATAATTGATTCTCCCCTCCATGCTCCTCGGTTAAATTCTTCTTCTCTGTCTCTTAATTCTTATCCTATGAACACTAGGTCCAAATCTGGCATCTTCAAAAAGAAAGCTCTTATAACTACTACTTCTTCCTCCTCAGAACTTTCAGAACCTACCTCCTATACTTCAGCATCTAAACTTCCTCAGTGGAGAACTGCTATATTTAAGGAGTTCACAACTCTTCAAAAATTAGGAACTGGGACTCTTGTACCTCCTTCACCATCTCAGGATATAGTTGGCTGCAAGTGGCTTTAAAAACCGAAGTATAACCCAGATGGTTTTGTTCCTAGGCACAAGGTCAAACTAGTGGCCAAAGGATTTCATCAACAAACAGGCATTGATTTTTTGATGAAACTTTCTCTCCAGTGGTTAAACTAGCTACTATCAGAGTTGTTTTAGAACTAGCAGTTCAATTCAACTGGTCTTTACATCAGCTTGATATACGTAATGCAGTCTTACATGGACATCTCCAAGAAGTTGTTTATATGGCTCAAGCACTAGGCTTTGTAGATCCTACTCTCCCTACCCATGTCTGCAAACTCAATAAGGCACTGTATGGCCTTAAGCAGGCATCTAGAGCCTGGTTTGAAAGATTCACCTCCTATTTGACTCACTCTAAATTCAAACCCTCTGCAACACACCCTTCTCTCTTCATTAGGCATTCTAGTTCTTCTAACACAATCCTTTTATTATATGTTGATGACATTTCTTACTGGCCATGTTTCTTTTATTTAATCTCCCATTCTCTGTCTTAGTGCAGAATTTGCAATGAAAAACTTAGGTCCCCTCAAATATTTTCTTGGCCTAGAAATCACAAAGATAGCTACTGGTTTATTTCTGAACCAGGCTAAGTATATCCATGGCCTTCTTCTTCAGGCAAATATATCCTCTGACAAACCAGTATCTACTCCTTGTGCTGTCAATACTCGTTTGAGCAAAACTGAGGGCACCATTCTTTCTAATCCCACTCTTTACAGGAGCCTAGTTGGTAAACTACAATATCTCACATTTACTACACCTGACATCTCTTTTGTAGTCGACCATGTTTGTCAATATATGAGCCAACCTACTGATGTCCATTTAGTTGCAATCAAATGAATCCTTAGATATATTCAGGGCACTTCTATTCATGAGTTACATTTCACTCTTGGATCCTTGCTTCTATTTGCTTACTTTAATGTAGACTGGGCAGGGACCCTAATGATAGAAGACACCACTGGTTTTGCCCTTTTCCTTGGTTCCACACCTGTCCACTGGGGTTCTAAGAAGCAAACTATAGTTGCTAGGTCCTTTACCGAATCTGAGTACAGTACATTAGCTTCCACTGCAGCTGAATTACATTGGTTTCGTGCTCTATTATGTGATCTTCATGTCTTCTTGCCTAAAGTACTTGTTTTATGGTATGATAATGTCTTAGCCTCGGCCATTTTCTCTAATCCTGTCTTCCATGTCAGAACTAAACATATTGATATAGATTTTCATTTTATCAGAGAAAAAGTTATGCGTAAAGAGATTCACTACATTGCTAGTGCTGATCAAGTTATAGACATATTCACCAAAGGCTTGTCCATTTCTCAGTTTATCTCTCTGCATAGCAAACTTCAGTTGTTTCCCTCCCCTTCAATTTGAGGGGGGATGTTAGAGAAGGTTACTGACCTTCACCTCTGCTCATTTGCACCTATTCACATCAGAGTATCTCAGCTCACCTCAGTCCTTAAGTTGTTCCTCATCACAGCATAGCAGCTCAGCTGCAGGCCAACACATGTGAAAACTAGCAGAATTAGTTATAGAATTAAGACAACTGTATTTATTCTATTGGTTAGTTAAATAGAGTTAAGAGTCTCTAATACATCATGATTTGTATAAATAACAGAGATTCACGTGTAATGGATTGGATTGATCATTTTCTACATCGATACAATTTTCTCTCTCTATTTCTGGCTCAGCTTCTTCACATTCTCTGTAATTCTTACAGTAAGTTTTCACTTGGTGCACTCCTTCATGGATTTGGATCCTCTACATTTCTAATTTCAGTCGTTTTCGGTCGAAGTTAATTATCAATCGTAAAATTTATTGGGCATTAGTGGAACCCACATAAACACCCAGCTTATAAATAAGTTCATCAGTCACCAATAAAAGTACAAAATTACTTAAATAGAGACTATAGTAATTTACAACAGTTCAAGATAAACTTTACTGTTAGCATTTTATCTTCATTCACCTTCATCTTTCTTAATTGTCACACTCATCTCATAACAACCCATAGAATAACGTATCAACTATATGCTCAGCACTATATCCCTTATCTAAGATCTCTCATTCCCGACAATATCATCCTTCTTTGCAAACTTCTTCATATTGCAGAGTCAAGTGACTTGAATGTACTCCATTTGTGCATAACACTGCCAAAGATATCATAGAACACGACCTCAACTTCAGTCTGAGTAATGTGCATCGTCATGAAGCCTTGTCCGTCGTAGTAGAGCTTCATCTCTCCCGGGTTCCACCAGCTGATGTCACCCCTCCACGCCTTCGACCCGCCACCGCTGGTTAGAAATTGAAGACGACTGTACATAGAATGGATAATTATATGGTGATCATAAGTTGCTTTGGAAATTTCAATTCCATTGTATGATAGTTTGAATATATAGTTGATGGGTAAATTTTACCTGTCAGAGCTACTAATGTGTTGCAAGCAGTGGTCGTGTCCATTTACATAAAGATCAACGTTGTTTGCCTGCCAAATTAAAATGGGATTAGTATCAGTTAGTTTTCGATACGAATCTGAAAATGATATATATGCTATCCAAAATGATACGATCCAGACACATGACATGATGTGACTCGATTGCCACTCTACCTAGAGTGCGTTTGATCATAAAAATCCTACCATTTGGTAGCAGAAAATTCACCTTCGTTCGATTATAGTTTCAGTTGAAATGGAGTTACCTGAAGGATTGGAAGTAATTGCTTTACGAGTTCCTTGGTGTTACCATGCTGCCCAGCACTTTGTATTGTGTGGTGACCCACCACAATCTTCCATTTTGCACTCGATTCCTTCAATGCTGAATCTACATCCTAGCACACAAGAATTGGTCAGGACTGTTTTTCATGGAGAAATTAACCTTAATCTAACTGTTTTTCTTCTAAGTGGTTGAAGGGTCATGATGGAAAACCTTTGGGCCGAGTTAAACAAAAAGTGAGCCGTGATCCATTGACCCTAACCATAGGTCCCACAAGGTGGTTGTCGACCCAATGGGCTTCCTAGTCTTTGGGCAACCCGTGGAGTTTGGGCTTTTTAACCGAGCCTTTGAATGTGTTGGACCTCTTAAATGGTATTTTTTTAAGAGTATTGCGTGTCTGTCTCTGTGTGTGTATGTAGAATGATACAGAACCCAAATAAAATCTAAAAAATTGTAACTCAAATACATATCTTTCCTTGAACGAGTGGATTCCATCAATTTTTTCAGTGGAATCCACTCATCCAATAAATTTGGGTTGCAATTTTTAAGTTTCGCTTGAATTTCGTTTCATTTTTCATGTAAATATATCCGCTAACCTTTAAAACTTTAGAAAGGTATTGGTCCCTAGGCAGCACACCTCTCCAGTCATAGGTACTGTCCCCTGGATCCGTAAAATATTTATCTTGGAATGGAGTAGTATCCATGAAGAAGAATTCTACAATTTCTGCACCACATGAAAAAAGATTAAAAAACAGTGAGGAATATAAACAAATGAATATAATTTCTTGACCACTTGTACTATCCTGTAATCATATGGAGTTAGGATAATTATTCCTACCCAGTAGTCTTTTGATAAATCGACTGGGTCCGGGAATTACTATCTTCAAAATGAGCATAAAATTATTTACTAATTACCACTCACACGCTTTTCGATATATAAGAGTCTTGTAAACTAGATACAAAAAATTTTAGATTTTTGTTAAAAATTAGCTGAACAAAACTTAAATTACCTGCATTGACAATGTAAGATTTGAGGCAAAGCCACCTGCTATCCCTGTTTGTAAGAATGGGACTCAGTTGANTCGATATATAAGAGTCTTGTAAATTAGATACAAAAAATTTTAGATTTTTGTTAAAAATTAGCTGAACAAAACTTAAATTACCTGCATTGACAATATAAGATTTGAGGCAAAGCCACCTGCTATCCCTGTTTGTAAGAATGGGACTCAGTTGAGCCAAAGCATTACCTCTATAGTCATGGTTGCCCAAAACTGCAACACAAATTAACATTAGAGAAGAAAAATAAATAAAATCAAATTATTTTCTTATTAGTTCGTACTAGGGTAATCCGTGTCTGAAAGACACGATGNGATTTTTGTTAAAAATTAGCTGAACAAAACTTAAATTACCTGCATTGACAATGTAAGATTTGAGGCAAAGCCACCTGCTATCCCTGTTTGTAAGAATGGGACTCAGTTGAGCCAAAGCATTACCTCTATAGTCATGGTTGCCCAAAACTGCAACACAAATTAACATTAGAGAAGAAAAATAAATAAAATCAAATTATTTTCTTATTAGTTAGTACTAGGATAATCCGTGTCTGAAAGACACGATACAATGTGAATGATTTTGAGGGTATGTTAGTGGTCGTTAGATGAGTTTATCTGAAATCNCGTACTAGGGTAATCCGTGTCTGAAAGACACGATGCAATGTGAATGATTTTGAGGGTATGTTAGTGGTCGTTAGATGAGTTTATCTGAAATCCTCAGACAAGCTTATTGAAGCATACCCTGTTTTGTATTATAGACGTATGTTTAAGGGACAATTAAGTCATACCTTTCATATCAAGAATCGTTAAATCTTATACTATGTTCGAATTAATTTTAAAAAAATCACTTCAATTATAGAGAATTAAACAATAAAAGTAAATTATTTTGGGGGTTGAATTTACCAGAGTACCATTGCTTCTGTAAGCTTGGGGCTGTGTAGATTTTGGTAAATGATTCATCAAATGCAGGATCATTTTCATCCGTCAATCCATCTTCATAAAAGTTATCACCAACCGAAATGATAAAATCTATTCCCATCTTCTCCCCAATAATCCCCATCTGCAAGGCATATAATGATAATAAAATAAAATGTAAATTAATTTTCTCAGATAACTTTCTAAAATATTTTTTTTTTCTTATTTCAAAAACTAAATACTGCAGAAATTCGGAGATAATTTGGTTGTGTGAACATTAGAAATAAATGTATTGGTGAGCAGTAGAAGTGCAGCGGTAGGAGATGAATTAAATAAAAAAAAAATTAGCAATAAGTATTACTTTTTCCTATAAATATCCATCAACTCCTATTATTTTTGTTTTATATCAATGAAGTCTTATTTTTAATATTTTATTTCAATTAAGTACTAATTCTAGTATATTCTAATTTTATCCTTATTTTTTAGTTACCAAAACTCTTTTATTTTTTTGCATTCTTAGAATCAATTAATAGAATATTAAAGATTCTACATTAATATTAATTTAAGCTAATTCTTACTAAAATCATATTCTATTAATTTATATTGGATTTAAAATAATTAAGTTAAGAATTTATTTTAGTTGTTGTGTTTAAATCGATAACAACATTAAAATGGAATTAATTGACAAATATTATCTATATATTTTTTTAACCTTTCTTATTTTATTAAATAATCAGTAAATATTGTCTAGAATTTTAAAATTATGTACTCTAATGAAATAAGAAAATAAGAAAATGTGAGCTTTGTTTGAGTCTTACCATGAAATTTATGTTATTTGAGTTTTTTTATGGGGTTTTGATGTTAATTTTGTAAACAAGGATTTTTTGTCCTCTTAAATTGTTTTAAAAATGTAAAAAAAATGAAAAGTAAGGATAAAATTGAAATATAATAGAATTTAGGACTTAATTAATATAAAATATCAAAAATATGACTTCGTTGATATAAAACAAAAAAGATATGACTTAATAGATTTTTGTAGGGAAGAGAAATACTTATTAGTAATTTTTCCAAAAAAATTGATTTAAATTATTTAAACATGTTTATGGAAGACTCAGCAATGCACCGAAAAAAAGTAATTGAATACATATTAATGATAATACGAGAGGCTAAGACATGATTAAATTAACTTTAAGCAAAACAATTAAAAAAAAAGAGCAATACTATAAAACTCAAATAAAACTCCAAAAAATGAACACATTATAATAACAATATTTATGTAACAGGCCTAAAATATAGGGATGTGCAATGCTGCAAAACTTAAATAAAACTCAAAAAGTTGCAATATAAGGTGATATTTGATAAAACTAAAAATTGAACACTGAAAACTGAATGCTGAATTTTAAGTGCTGAATGCTGAATTTTTTAATTCGCCAATTGTTTGATATCAACTGAAATTTAAGTATTGAATTTAATCAAACTGTTTAACAAATAAAAAGTGCTAAAGTCTAAAAATTATTATTATTTTAATTTGCCCTTCTCTTTAACTGAATGCTGAATTACACAATGGTTGTGACGGTGGTGCTGATGGCGACAATGGTGGTGATGGTCGCAATGATGGTGGTGGCCCAATGGTGGTGGTGGTAATGATAGTGATGACGGCGGTGGTGTTGATGGTGGTGGTGATAACACAATGGCAGTGAAAGTATTATTTGTCATTTATGAAAAATTGATAAAATCTAAATTGATTAACATTTTCAACATTAAGTGATAAGTAGGGAGCTTACTGCTTAAAATTTTAGTCTATTTTTAAGTAGTGCTTAAAATATTAAGTAGTATTAGATTTATGTTATCAAATGAGTTTAATTTATTAAATACTTAATGTATTCAGTTTTAAGCATTAACTGGTGTTATTAAATAACCTCTAAATGCATATCATCTCTTAGATGAATGAGTTCTATTAAATTTTTCACTAAAATCCACTTATCTAAAAAATGATATGTATTTAAATTTTAAATTTTATTTAAGTTATATAATATTTTTTCATAAGGGTTATGACTTAATTGTGAGAGAGAAGAGAGAGAGAGTAAAGCAAAAAGCTTTTCTTGGTGGCTTTTTTTTTTTTTTGGTGGTTTTTTTTTTTTTTTTGAGAAAATATTCATTACAATGGTAATACCACATGACAAGGTGATGTGGTATCACCAACTAATAGTACTAAAACAAATAAGTACATAGAATTCACAAAAATCAATAACTAACATGTCATGTAAATAAATAATTTATTATTCTCTTGTCATGTAAGTTTAAGTAGAATTCACCTTTCTTATTTATAATTTTATTATTAGTAAGTGATATCATATTATCAATGATAATATGATATTACCGTTGTATTCAATATTTACTCTTAAAATTGATAGATGGAAATGAAAGAAAGATTGCGACATTATTCCTCGGAATTGCGTGCCAACTTGAAACATCGAACATAGATGATAACAAAATTTGAGGTTGAGGTTTCTAGCATTAAAGACGCCTAACTTTTGGCCCAATGACGACCATACACTTATATTTTCTTTTGTATATATTTTTTTTGCTGATAAGATATTTTCTTTTGTAGCCAGTTAGGTGAAGTAACTAACATAGTTGGAGTCAAAGGTTGAAGGGTGGGGCTCTTTCAACCCCCACAACTTTTCGTTTTTACACCTATTAAACTAAAAATTATGAAAGTATTAAATTCACTTCATTTATATTCATTGCATTTTATACTTACTCCATTAATAGGTAAATTTATCTCAATTTTTATTTTTAAGGTATATTTTTTCTACCTTATCTCACACCGTTTATACAAAATATACTCAACTGGATTATCTATTAAAACTAAACAAACAATTATGCATAGATTGTGTGATTCGAAGAGAGAGACTTGATGATCTTTTACTTTTTTCTTTTCAAGAAACTTAGTTTCATATGCGACCTACAACGAAAATTTCAACAGATTTCTTTCAGTACATTGAAAAATTGTGCGTGAAGAAGATTTTTTTCTCTGTGAATTCCTTCAACCGGCAATTAAGAAAGCAAGAAAGAGAAGCGCAGATTGAAATTGGAGTACTATTCTGACGATGAAATTAGAGAAAATAGAGATTGAACGACGACAGTTGAAGCAATTTGCATGAAAGAAATCCAGAGTGGAATCCATTTGATTATATTTTGTGTATAGACTGCATAAGATGTGTATAGAAAGAAAACCTTAAAGATAAAGATTAAGATAAATTTTATTATTAATGGGGTAGGTTTAATTATTAGTGTGGTGGGTATAAAAAAGGTGAGCTTAATAATTTTATTATTTATGATTTAATGGAGTGAGACCATAAATTTATGGAGTAGGAATAAAACCACCCAATGTTGAATACAAGGGATTGGATTAATCTCGTATTGAACTCTTCGAGCTACACCCCTTACTAATACATTGTGGGTCATCAACCATCGAAAATCAAAGAAAAGTGTGTTGGGAAGCAACTTGAATCCGTCTACTTTTTCCCCAATGTAGTTTTGTCAGTGGTTGAAGATAAAAACAAATACAATGGGCAGTTGGGTGGATATGATATGCCGACATTCAACCTCCCCCACATCAGTTGCTAATGTGCTCCCCACAGAGAAGAATATAGAATCTAATATGGAATTATACCCTCCCAATGCAACAAAAGAGTCTAAGAAGAATAATTATTTCTCCTACTAATTCCATGTGCTGTCATGCATTCGTTGAAAGGTAAAGTTAGCACCTTCACTAGTTCAAAGCTAGAAAACCCTTTGATAGTGGTTTTTTTTTTTATTCAAAGCCACCTAATGTGAGTAGGGGGTTTGGCAAGACCCTACTTGTTTATATGTACAAAGAAAAAAGTATAAGAGAAGAGGACAAAGAGTCAAGCCTTGAAGAGTACAAAGTGGAAGGAAAAGTCAAAGTAAAAGCAAGGGGGTGATTCACCACAAAAAATATGAAAAATAAATAAACAGAAAGTGGGGACTCCGCATCAAGCAAAATAACTGAAAATAAAAATAAAATTCTTCGACGAACATGAGAAGTCTGTCGAACGTCAAAGATGAAGATGCCAACAATCACAGAGGAAACGGATGACGAATCATAAAATCGCTGATTTAGATGCTAAGAGTAAGCCCAATTAACCATGAAATTTATCGCCTGATTCACCTCCAGCAGAACATGGCAAACGCGATAATAACCTTTATGGTGATTCACCACCATAATAACCCTTTGATAGTGGTTATTATAGTACATTTTAAACAAATTTTCTTATCTTAAAATATTGATGGGAGTTACAAAATATTTTTTAAAAGGCATACTAAAATATTTGTAATATATACATCAAAGTGCTAAATTGCCAAGCTCTTTAATTTTAAAAATAATGAAGAGATGTGTAATATATGTATTTATCTACTTAAAATTTTCTCATATTAGTTTAGATATTAATCTCAATATACACTGTCTCTAAGTAATTGGAATCAAGGTTGCATACAAGAATTAGAACATCTCAAACTAGGGGTGATATTCGGGTTGATTTGAGATTGAAACCAAAATAAAAAATTTGGTTAGAGTTTGTATTTGAACACCGAAAGCTTGAGATTTGAATCCCAGTATTTTTTTAATGTAAATTAATTTGAGATTTTTTTATTCAAGCCCATCTCTTCCTAAAAATTGAATATTCTGGGTGGAGTTTGGGTTGCCCCAACCTAAATTTTTCTTCTATGCTCTGTTTGGTATGATGAAAAAATGGTAAAATTAAAAGTTTAATGGATAAATAAACCATTATGCTTGATAAGGAAAGAAAATAGGAATGATGAAAAAGTTGATGGATTAATTTTTCTTCCAACTCACCAAAATCAATTCCTCCAAAATTGGAACGAAATTTAATGAAAAATTATTATTTGTGTTAAAATGTATCTTAATTGTCTATATATCTTTTAATATATATATTAAAAAATTAAAAATAAAAAAGTATTTAAATTAAAAAAAATATTTTTCCCATCTTAATTAAGGGTGAAAATTTTTGACTTAACACAATGGTACGACTCGAACTCGATACGAATTTTATGATACGAACTTGATTATAACTCGACACAAACTTGAAAATGACCTGACACGCGAATAAGAAATATAAAAGCTCATAATTTTATGACTCAACACGAATTTGATACGACACGACTCGATTGTCACCCCTAATCTTAGCCAACACAAAAAAAAAAAATTAATCATTTTTATTTTCCATCTATCCAACTAAACATAAAAAAAGAAAAGTGTATCATTCTTACTTTCCATTATTGAAGGATAAAAAATGTATCTCTCACACTTTCTATAAAATGGAGGGGGGGGTGGGATCTACTTATATAAAATGGGTTTCATTAAAATTTATTTATAATGGTAACATGTTATTGATAGAAAATTAGTTCTAGTGTATAGGAAGGATTAAAACCCAATTAAGACAGATAATGACTTCTAAAATCAGATTAAACTAAAGTTAAGAATTTTATAACTTGGTTGAGTCGGAATTGACATCTTAACCAGTTCAATCAGTCTGAATCACATCCTTAACCAATATGGTGTTGGTGATTACCCATTGAGAAAAATTGATGAAAAGTGTGCCAGAAAGAATTTGAATTCGTCCAATTAAGCAGCAATTATTAAAGAAGGATACATAAGTCAGACATGTCAAGCCAACTCCATCTAAAACACTATGCCTAAATCCAATCGGTTTATATTTGGAGAGAGAAACAATCTCTTGATAAATCACCGTTATTCTTTTTCTTTCTTTCTTCTTTCCGAATCCACTTATACTAGTGGTTGACAATAAATCAAAGACATTGGGCAGTTGTCTTCTAGTCAGTGAGGTGGATCGATGATACTCAACAGTTCCCATTAGTTGCTAACGTCAACACTTATTCAGAGAATATAGAATCTAATGTGGAATTATACCCTCCCTGTGCAACAAAATGTTCTAATCCCACAATAATTCCTTTTGTTGTCATGTCCTGATTGAAAGGCAAAGCTAGCACCTTCACCAGTTGAAAGCTTTTAAGGCAAAAGTGAGTAAGTTAAGCACTGCCCAGTTAACACTGTACTAATGATTATAATACCTTTTAAACTCAATTTGTTCTCTCTCTCACACGTGGTCGCTGTTGAGTGATCTCTTCATGTGGTCATACCTGTGGTCTATTAATTGGTGGAGGTGCTTTATTATTTATTATATTAGATTATAAGTTACAATACGTCTAAAAAATTAAACTAACAAAGAAGATATGATTTAAATATTTATATAATACGAAAGAATCCTTCAACCTTGTATACATTCAAAGAAATGAATCTACTTATCTATCTATAACTATTATAGATTTCTATTTGTTGGTAAATGTTAATAGTATCATCCATGGCGAAGACATATTTACGAAGATCAAGGTGTTAGAAACACAAAAAAATTATGGTTTTTACAGTGGTTTGGCTGTCTTAAAGATGATAGTTAGGAGATAATTAGAAGTTGGTAATGATATTTGATGCCCAATACAGAACGTAGTTGCTAATACAATGAAGAGGGGTTAAAGAAAAGAGATATGTGACCTGGACTGCAACTTCAGACTGGTTGTAGGATCCTTTTCTTCCCCAGTCTCCAACGACCAGAACGGTAAGCGACCCATCGGCTTTGGGCTGGTGTTCGAACCGTTGAAGCTCAGCCATGGCCAGAAGTGCACACAGCCCTAGAATAACAGTGAGTTTAAGAGAGATCATCATGGGCTTGATGAACTGAATAGCCATGGCTTCTGGAACCAAAGCTGCGTGTGAGATGGGGGTGGGGAGAGAGAGAAGAGATGAGCAGGCAAGGGAAGGGAAGACAAGAGAGGAAGCTTCCTTGCTTGGTGTGGCGTAAAGGCCTTGTGATATAAATAGCGTACAGGTAGGAAGACTTAGAAGAGCCCGATCAGGCTCATAACTCAGAATTGGCAAATGACCAAACAGGCCTACTCACTCTCTCTCTCTCTCAATTGTGGGTTCTATATTAGAATGCGATCCTAGACCTAAGTCATNGAATTGGCAAATGACCAAACAGGCCTACTCACTCTCTCTCTCTCAATTGTGGGTTCTATATTAGAATGCGATCCTAGACCTAAGTCATAACCAACATTTTTTAAGTTAATTACGATTTATATATCCTGTTAAACTATAATGTTAGTTTTTATTTTCTCCCATCAATTGTTGATTTGGATCTTCCAATATTCGTATTCCTGGCATTTGGCTCAAATAGCTGATGCCAATTTCCATCCACAATGCAAAGATTCTTGCAAAGTTTCATATTCCTGGCATTTGTCTTAACTTTTGAAGGGGAAATACTAATTTCTCGGGGAAAGTAGAACAAAATCTCATTGTTAGTGGGTCAAAGTGAGAATTTTGTTTTGTCAATTTTGTAGCGGATCAGTGATAAAATATGAAACTTGACGACTCAAAATCCAGATTAGGCCCGGTCCAGTTTATGAGTTAAGCCCAAATCAAGTATGAGTTTAATTTATGAATTAAGCCCAAATCATCAAAAAATAGATTAAACTTAACTTATAGTCTCAGTTCATTTTAAAGCTCAAGGGTCTAGAAAAAGTCAACGCAGGTGGGAGAACAACCATGATGATAACCATTACTCAAAGATAGTATCTATTTCCAATTGTAGTTATTCTCTCCGATAAATTAGTAGTTTGACTTTCACGTTATCGTCTCAGCTAGGGCTCTGTGTCTATAAATTGTAAATCCCGTACACATGGGGCAAATTTCACACATTTCATCTTGAATATACTCTTGCTTTATCTCTCTCCAACTATCTTGTAAATCTCTTATTAATAGAGTTCTCTAACCACCGTTAACACTTTCAGTGTTTAGGTCATCTAAATCCAACGACTAATTTTTTTATTCTTATTATTAATTATTTTATTAATTGCTTTACACAATATACTTGATTGATTTGATCGTTTATAGTCAATTTTGTGCATCATCAAAATTAATAACTGTAATTGAAAGTGCAATATTAGAAACATAATAATCGAGAGGGCAGTGAGAGACAGAACCATGATTACGGGTATTGAAGTGTAGTTGGCCTTTAAAATAAAAATAGCACAATTTAAAATTAAAAGAAAAAAGTGGGTGATATAATTATTTTCCACTTTCTTTTATTTTTTGTGGACCTTCCAGGAGAGGAAAGTAAGAACAGCGAGCTGTGAGGATAATGGTGAGAGGCAGTTGAGATAGGGCACTCGAGATTTCTCATTTCTGAACTCAAGTTCAGATTCTGATCTCCAACAGTGGCCACTAATTTAGAATTTTTTTATCAAACCAAATCAGGCTTCCTGACAAGTAGCTTTACTGAACTTACAAGTTGTAATGTGCAGCATCAATATTTTATTCATGCAAAGCTGGGCTAGTGGGAGGGGCAATTTGACATCGAACATGCCATGTTGTGCATTATTTGATTCAAGCAATTAAACTATTGAGAACTCTTGTCACCTTGTTCCCTATTTTTTCTGGGAGAGCTGGGGTGAGGGTCAGAGAGAAAGGGATCTGTTATCAACTAACTGTAATTGGGATGAGTTCTCGATTTAAATCGTCAAGAAATGATCCCAAATATTGACTCGAATCTCAAATCAACGTACGATCTAAGTAGTTCAAAATTATGAAAAATACATCAAATATAACCCTAATTAATACTTTATATTTTTTTTCTATTGATCTTTAAACTTGTATTATTCAGAACCATTAATTGATACATTGTTTTGCATCACTCTTTGTTTTCAAACTCTTATCATTAATCTACAATTATAATAATTTTCAATGTCTAGAAATGTAAAATCTATTACTATTATTAAGTGAGTGTAACGTCCTAAAACTCACCTTGGATGATATTACAATTTAAAAATCATTCACATCATGAGAGTAACTAAATAATTTCATCATTAAAGAACATTTCATTTATCAAATATAATATTTACAATATCATCTCAAAAAAAATAAGTCAATCATGACCATTACATCTTAAAAGACTCAACAATTTTTTCGCAACGAAATAAACAAAAATACATCTATTAATGTACCAAAATATATCTCATAATCTAAAACATGGAGAGATTAAGTCTAGACATTTCCCTCGGGATTCACGCTTTCCTCTAATTGGACTTCCCAAGCCACCTGCTCGTCAACTCCGAGTTTTTCCTTTAAACTGACATCTGAAAATGAATAATATTATAGGGGGTGAGCACTAAGTTCTGTAGCAACATTTTCCCAAACTCGAATAAGGTTTAGAAAACATGTAAAACAAGTCGATCTCATTTTTCAAATATCATATATTAATTTGTGAAAGAAAACAGAAGAAGGAATGATTTGTAGAAAAACAGATAAAACCTTCCGGAAGGTTAAGATAAATGTTAATTCAGTAGGCAAAACCTTCCGGAAGGTCGACGAAAACCTCCAGAAGGTTAAAGTAATGTTCTTCCAGAAGGTTAAAGTAATATACTTCCGGAAGGATAATGGAAAAGNCCATTTCTCCTAAGTTCTTGTAAAATCTCATACTTTCACAAGCTCTTGTAGAAAATCTTTTTTGGTACAATAAACTATAAACCCACAACTTGTATTCGTATCTTAGGTATGATGCATGATTCGCATGAATAAACACATCGAGAATATCCTGCCCCCCCCCCCACACACACACACACACTCCCAAATCCTCGCAAGGATATCCAACCTTTAAGAAGGGCGTATACTAACTTATGGCAGTGATGAATCCAACCCAGGAATAGTATACTAACCCTCAACCTCGATAACACATGAGCGAATAGTGGTTTGGTCATCGCAAGACATCAATTCCACTACGAGTGATAGGGAACTTTCAAACTCATACGTAATAAGAAATGCATCTAACCCACTCTACGATATCCGGTCAACGGCCATCCATGATCATCCAAACATCCACAAGAGATACAATATCTAATTAATTTTTTCAATCACAAATACATTAAAAAATTTCCAAATTTCACAAGTAGTATTCCAATGGAACAATTTTAGAAAATATACAAGAGATCATCATCAATACTATTTTGTGGTTCAATATAAAGCACTAAAATTTTGAAATTAAGAACAATTAAACATTAAGAAGAAAATCCATTTTCCCAAAATTAGGGTTTTCATGGCTATCAAACCATAAATACCTTCAAACCATGGTGATATTTGTAAGAACTTCAAGAAACAAGTATTTCATAGCATATATCTAAGGTTTAGAAGCAAAACATAGATATATATATAAACCTTATCCTCAATGAATACGAATGGAAGAAAACCCCTACCTTGGTATTCTTGAAAATTTGGATTTTGATCCAATCCAATGTGTAAATCTCTTTTGATCTTGTGTTTTTTCTTCTCTTTCTTCCTCTCTAAGGTTTTCTAGAGTTAGAGATGTTGAAATGGGGCTAAAGGTGTTGTCCCTAAGTATTTATAGTGGAAGGAAGGGCCAGTTGTTTGCGACTTAAAAATTCAAATTTTTGAAAAACCTTCCGGAATGTTTGCCTACTGGACAAACATTTCCATTAACCTTTCAGAAGGTTTTTCATCGACCTTCCAGAAGGTTTGCTTCCTGGACAAACTTTTCCATTATCCTTCCGGAAGTATATTACTTTAACCTTCTGGAAGAACATTACTTTAACCTTCTGGAGGTTTTCGTCGACCTTCCGGAAGGTTTTGCCTACTGAATTAACATTTATCTTAACCTTCCGGAAGGTTTTATCTGTTTTTCTACAAATCATTCCTTCTTCATTTTCAACCCATTCTAATTCTTCCAAAATCAACCCAAACTTATACAACATACATTTGGACATCAAATACAGTTGGTACAAATTCTATTACAAACGATTTCATATATTCATCTGGATTTTATCATATTAACATTTCAAAAAGAAATGATTACCTGTTATATAAAGATAAGAGTATGAGGGTTTACAATGAGAGAGAGGAGTTTGGTGTCCACATGTCAAATACCTGTGGTGCTCCTGTTATATTCTTATTTTTACAATTCATAACACCATAAACACTCATAACTCTCTATCAACTACAATCAATCACCTATATAATTTATTTATTTTATGGTATTTTGTCACTTGGATATCTCTCTCATCCCTCTTCCAAACTTTTTCCTTCACAATCACCTATATGGGTGGGTGGTAGTGTGCATGACCCAATATACATAATCTCTTATATTGATGAAAGAGATACGTATAAGAGTTCTAAGTGATGTGTAACCTAACTACGTACTTACTAAGTTTATTTATATTGTATTGCGTACTAAAGAATATATCGTGTAGTCATATTCGTATATGTACAATATATTAAATTGATATATGATCAGGTAACTCGGGGCAGAGTTTTGGGTAAATTGCAACTGTTTCAGTACTTTTTTTCTTTTTGTCCCCGTTATGTTGGGGTGTTATTGCACTTATTGCCATTTTTCTCTCAGTAATAGCTTACTGATGCAGAGAAGAGCTTTCAGGGAATTGACGAAACTGCAAAGCTGTTGGCTATAGAATTAATAGCTTCAAAAACTTCCATCCATAGTTATAATATCTCTGTAGGTACCTCCCTGCTTAGGGGGTCCAGTCCACACTCTCTGCATTAGAATTTTCATTCAAGACAGCAAGAGCTTGTCATCTTTCAACGCAATGAGCGGTGGGATCAACTTTACAACAACATGCCCATTCTTCAGTTAATAGATCAATTTTGGCAGCAGAAAAAGCTTG